GGGGGGGGGGGGGGGGGGGGGGGGGGGTTAGTCGACGGAATCGTGGAGAGCGGGGGAGAGGTCACCGGTCGTGGTCGAGTGGAAAGTGACAGGTAGGAGGCGGAGCTAAGGATATAGTTTGTCATTAAAGTAATATTATGGCTGCCAAACTGTCTGAATTTAACTCAATTTACTGTACCGGTACGTAACCAAATTTACTGTACCGGTACTTAACCACATTTACTGTACCGGTACTTAACCACATTTACTGTATTTAACGAAACTTACTGTTTTTAACCAAATTTATTGTAATTAACCAAACTTACTGTATTTAACCAAACTTAATGTATATAGCCAAACAATGTATTTAACCAAACAGTGTATTTAGCCAAACAGTGTATTACCCAAAAAGTGTATTTAGCCAAACAATGTATTTAGTCAAACATTGTATTTAGCGAAACAGTGTATTTAGCCAAACAGTGTAATTAGCCAAACAATGTATTTAGCCAAAAATGTATTTAGCCAAACAGTGTATTTAGCTCTCATGCTAGACACCTGTCTTGTTTGTAATGTTTTGTTGGTATGATGTTATTGAATTTATGAATAAATACAAGACATTACTCAGGTCTGTCTGTAGACAAGTTAAGGTAATAAAATACAAGACACATATCTGTAGATACGTTAGAATATACAAGATAAAAAAATGGGTTGGTCCACTCTCCACCATTACACAGAATTTCGACCCTCCTCTCCCCCCTCCCCCCCCCTCCCTAGACAGCGACGAGGCCACGACAGGCAGTCCCGGCTCATACAAACAAGAACTCAGTACATGAGCTCCTCATTCCTGCCAAAGACAATCAGGGACTGGAATAAGCTTCCAAGGGCATCAGTTTAGTTGACTATACTTGACAGATTTGCGTCAATTGCCTCCTGTTTTCCAGCCCCTAGTCCCACTGCTGAGTCGTCGCCCTTGCAACCAGTGAAGTATCCCTTTCAAAATCCATGCACAGTAACATCGCGAACCCCTCTGAAACATACGAGCTGAAATTGATCAAGTCATTGATCGTGGGCCCTTAAAATATAGAAGTAGAAGAAGAAGAATAGGATCATAAAGCTAAATTTGCCATCAATTGAAAGGAAACCGGTGGATGGTATAAGGGGGGGGGGGAGGGGCATTATGATCAAGATTTTCTATCCAACCACTGGACGGTATACGAGAGCGTTATTAAGTTGTTTGAGGTGTTGATTTTTGGTTGACTGTGGGATGAAACTCCTAAAATATTTACTTTCTAATTGTGAAGGACTGGTTTTATCAATAACCATGTCAGCCTTGTAGCGTATAGATTTGTGGATCAAGGGAGGATATCGAGAGAACTTCCGAGCTAACACACAGTCCGAGATTAAGATTGTGACCTTCCATGCTAACAACCAGTCCAAGGTTAAGATTAAGTGGTCATAATTTACAGACTATTGTGACTGCCACAAAGTACGACTTAAGAGTCTAATACTAAATACCAATGTCATCGCTCAGCCAATTATGAGTCACTTGAAAATTGCTTGGTGAGTTTTGCAGAGAAGTGAATTTATCAAAGAGCTAATGAGTTGGTTCAGAAAACGTCAGGCGCCTAGTGTCTGAACTATAAGTTGGTAGAGAAGAAGTCAGATGTCTAATGTCTAAACTATAAGTTGGTAGAGAAGAAGTCAGATGTCTAATGTCTAAACTATAAGTTGGTAGAGAAGAAGTCAGATGTCTAATGTCTAAACTATAAGTTGGTAGAGAAGAAGCCAGATGTCTAATGTCTAAACTATAAGTTGGTAGAGAAGAAGTCAGATGTCTAATGTCTAAACTATAAGTTGGTAGAGAAGAAGTCAGATGTCTAATGTCTGAACTATAAGTTGGCAGAGAAGAAGCCAGATGTCTAATGTCTAAACTATAAGTTGGTAGAGAAGAAGTCAGATGTCTAATGTCTAAACTATAAGTGGCAGAAAGAAGCCAGATGTCTAATGTCTAAACTATAAGTTGGTAGAGAAGAAGTCAGATGTCTAATGTCTAAACTATAAGTTGGTGGAGAAGAAGTCAGGTGTCTAATGTCTAAACTATAAGTTGGTAGAGAAGAAGTCAGGTGTCTAATGTCTAAACTATAAGTTGGTAGAGAAGAAGTCAGGTGTCTATGTATCAACAGAGACAAAAATGAGGTGTCTGATGTCTGAAACAAGGG